GAAACTCGAATCCTGTTCAGTATAAAGGAGTGGGAAAAACTAGGTCTACAGTTGTGAGTATGCAAAATGGTTTATTCGTATTATTGTACTAAAGGCCCGGTGCACGAAATTCGTGCATGGAGAGGGTCCCCTCAGCCCAGCCTGCACCTTCTCCAATCTGGGAACTCTTCAGGGGATGTCCAATTGCTGGTTTAGGCCTCATCCTGGGGATCAGACCTAAACCGGCAGTCGGACATCCCTCTCACAATCCAGGACCGCTGGCTCCTAACTGCTCACCTGCCTGCCTGCCTGATTGCCCCTAACTACCCCCCTGGCCGGCCTGGTCGCCCCCAACTGCCCTCTCCCTGCTGGCCTGGTCACCCCTGACTGCCCCCCACCACCGGCCTGGTCGCCCCCAACTGTCCACCCTGCCGGCTTGGTCACCCCACGCAGCCTGCTGTTCAGTCGTTTGGTCATCCCTCACTAACCCCCCTGCCGGCCTTGTCGCCCCATGCAGCCTATGTTTGGTTGTCTGTCCAGTTGTTTCAGTTGTGACGGGCCCTGGTTTTTTTTATATATTAGGATTATTTTCCATAGGAACAACTGTAAACTTACTTTTGTTCATCCTGTATTTTCTTATTTGCTCAATCCTGTAATTCACAGATCATAGGTTCTGAATTGGTAACTTCCACCCCTGCAAAAAACCAAAATTTCTATCTAGAATTTATATTAGTTTGTGGGTATTTTTGCTTTTAGACTGGGAGCACACAGTCAAAGTACTATGTTCGAAAGTTCCTCTGATCGATCACCTCTTTTCCCACCTTCAGTGTGGTTGTGTTACTCATTTCAACTTGTTCTGTTCATTTGTTTCTTTTCTCATTCCATTTTAATTTTTTCTCTCATCCTGTTAATTTGATTTTATTTTGTTTTATTTTTTTAACGACAAAAACACCCATACATATGCTGCCTACAAGAGACCCACTTCAGATAGAAAGACACATACAGATTGATTCTGTTTTATTTTGAGTACGTAAAATATTACTGTGATTCCAAAAGTCAAAACTACTCCGTATATAAGAATTCTTTTTTTCCCCAGTTCAGAGGTCTTGTATTTTTTTACACTTGTCATGCCATGAATTTATAGGGGACGGGGCCACAGCTCAGGCTCCTTCCCACTGGTTCTCACACAGTGAGCTGCTCTGGGTGGAGCAAGCTGACGCTTCAGCTGAACCCAGGTACCTTTCTCTTTGGCTTCCTTCTTTTTTGGATCATTTTCCTTCACACGTTTTAGGAAGCTATCGCGGCTCTTAGAGTGCTTAATATGCTCAATGCGCACATTAATTCTCTTGGCAAGAATCTTGCCCTTGTTTGTTCACAGCAGTGCCCACTGCATGCTGGGTGACATTGTAGACTCTTCCAGTTTTGTCATGGTAACATTCGTGGGGCAATCCTTTTTTAACGGTGCCCGTTCCTTTGATGTCCACAATATCACCTTTCTTGTAGATTCACACGTATGTGGCCAAAGGAACAACTCCATGTTTTCTAAAAATCCTAGAAAACATAGTGGGTGCCTCTCTTTCTCTTTGTGTTAGTCATTTTGGCGAATTACTGGAAGGTGGTGGTTCTGAGTGAAAGGCCATAAGAATTCTTTTTTTAAAAATTTAAATTCTTTATTGTTTAAAATATTACATGAGTCTCCTTTTTCTCCCATTGACCTCTCCCTGGCCGCTCCCATAAGAATTCTTGAACAGATATAATACAGGCTGATCCACTGAAGCACCCAGAAGAGTAAACCTCCTGCAGTTGAGTGTTAGCTGGTTTGCCTGTTGTTGGGAGAGGACGTTAGGGTCCATGTCTCTCCTCCAATGTTAAACCCAGGTGGACTTCCTGGTGGCAGCCCGTGTCCACAGGAAAGGCTCTGTCCTTTTGCCAAAGCGGCTGGGAGGGGTGGGGAAGCTCTGGTTCAGGTGGCCGTGTCATCACTGCTGCTGGATTTTGTCATTTTGGGGGATGGTATCAGATGTCCAGATCACAGCTCTGCGTTCTGAAGGGCAGAGTGAGGGAGGAGGGGGTGTGTGGTCCCGGGAGGCAGGACTCAAGCAGGGGTTTCCCATCAGCAGCAATGTTTTCATGGCGTCTGAGGGTCTTACCCCTCCTGGGGCTGTGTTGTGTGGGAGACTCCCGGCCTTGGATGGGAATTAGGATGAACAGGCCTGGAACACCCCAGGTCAGCCCTGCAGGACCACTGTCTGTAGGCACTGGCTTTCGGACCTGTTCTGTGGCGGGAGACACCCACACTGCACGGAGAGCTCCGCTTCTGGGAAGGACTAAATCAATATTGACCGAGGGTGCCGCCCAGACCGGAATCCAGGGGAGTCAGACTTTGACACTCCCTGTGGGTCCCCACTCCTCCGCAGAGCTGTGTGGTCTCCACCCCCGAGGGGGGGTACAGGGCACCCCCTGGACATTGTTCTGGAACCCCTAGGACACGTCAGCTGAGCCCCTAGGACACGTCAGCTGAACTCCTAGGACAACCCAGAGAGGCTGGGACTGGCAGGAGCTGGAGAGGCAGCTCTCAGGGCTGCGCTGGAGAGCAGGGACTCACCTCGATCTCAAGGACAGGTCGTCGGGGGAAATAGAAAATGCATCCCCATTAAGACCTCTTTTCTTTCTCTTCCTCCCAACTTCCCTGAAGACACCCGCCCTCACACTGAAAATCGTCTCTTGTGCTCGATGCTTCCAAGAGCTTTCACGGTTATCTTCTCACCTGCACCGTGCAAGCCTCTCTGGCGCGGTGCGTGGCTGTCTCACCTCATTCGGCCAGAGCCCGAGGGGAGGACTGCGGTGCCCGCTCTGCCGCTGGGCCTCTCAGCGCGGCCTGGGTGTTCTCGGGCGCGTCATTAACAATGAAACAGCGGCTTTCAGAGGGCGCCCCGCGGCTCCCTGTGCTTCGGCCAGAGCCGCCCGGCAGTTGTGCCGGGGGCGGAGGGGCAGGCCGGTCTTGCTTTGACCCACTGCTGACCCGGGTGGGCGGAAGCACGGCTCCTCCCCTGGTTTCTTTCCCTCCAGCTGCCACAATAGAGGAAGGTGTCATCTCACATTGCAGATGTGCTCACTGCGCCGGGCTGGTGGCGGCGGGAGGCGGTGTGCGCCCCACTGCCGGTCCTTCCTCCCACTCAGCCCAGCTCGCGGCTGCAGGAGGGTCCCCCCCCCCCCCCCGCGCCTCTCAGGTGCAGGTCCCCCCTTCCTAGACGCCCTACTCAGTGCAGAGATTCCCTGTTCACAGGAAAGACTTCCACCTCTGAGCTAGAACACCCCGGGACAGCCGTGCAGTGTCCAGCGTGGAGGGCAGGCCCCTGGCGCCAAGGGGAGGCCTGGCTTCCTGGCTGGGAGCTCGGGAAGGGACCTGCCAGCAGAGCAGCATGGAGATGTGATCCGGTCTGGCTCCCAGTCCCTGTGCCCTGGGACCTGCCGAGCTTGTCCCTGCAGGGAAGAGAGGAGCCTGACGCTTGAGCACTAGTGTGGTGTGCAATCTGAGGGGCCTCCTTGCTCCCCGCTCTCCTTCATCTTCGTCCCCACCCCTGCGCGCCAGCAGAGGCCATGCCAGGCACAGCACACATCCTGTTCCCGCCTCTTTCCCCGCAACCTGCTATGTCTATGTCAGAGAATGTCGAATGGGACCCTTGTTAGCCACACTGGGACCAGACCTCTCCCCTAGGTCTTACCAAGACAGCCTAGAACTGGCCGGCTGTCACCTATGGCCATCCCACTGCCCCGCCCCCTGCCCTTCTGCCCTCCTGCCCTGGGGGATAGAAATTACTGGGAAGAGATGCAGAGGGAGGGTCTGTGAGCCTTGGCTCTGTGGGAGGGCATGCTCAGGTGAGAGGGGCTCCTCACCCTCCACAGAGGAGGGAGTGGGCTGGGAGTCCTGCGTGTGGGGGAGAGCTGATACCCTGCTGTAGGGTGTCGGCTTCTGCTGCAGCCCTCGGGTCTGCCCTCAGCCTGTCTGAGCAGGAGCTAGCGGGAACTGGAGAGAGCTGGCCCGGCAGAGCAGGAGTGATCTGTGGAGCAGCTAGTGGTGATATTGTGATTTTTTAACAAGAACTACATACTGGATTTGCACCCCCATTCCTGGCACAGAGCTCCTAAAACCCTTGGAGTTTTCTAAGAGTTGAGAGTGACAAAGGTGTCTTGATATTTATAGCAAACCCCTTGATATTTATAACAAACTTGGTTGATGTTAATGAGGTGACTTTCGGAAAACACCTGCGGGTGGAGGCTGGTTGCCAGGGAACCAACCAGTCATGAGAGGGTTGGAACTTTTAGGGGAGGGTGAAGGGCTGGAGGTTGAACCAATCACCGATGGCCAATGATTTAATCAATCTCGTGTATGTAATGAAGCCTCCATGAAAACTCAGAAGGAGAGGATTGGGGGAGCTTCGGGCTGGTGAACGTGGAGATGGGGGAGAGTGGCGGCTCAGGGGGCGTGGGAGCCCCACACCCTTTTCCCATGCCCTGCCCTGCGCCTCTCTTACATCTGGTGGTTCCTGAGTTACATCCTTTTATCATCAACTGGCGATCTAGTAAATAAATTGTTTCTGTGGGTTCTGTGAGTCCCTCTCGCAAAGTGGTTGAATCCAAAGAGGGGGTCGTGGGTTCCGCCGATCATTAGTCTGTGGGTCAGACACCCGGGTGACAACTGGACGTGCAACTGGCAGCTGGGAGGAGGTGGGGACGCCGTCCTGGAGGACTGAGCCCTTAACCTGTGGGATCTGACACCATCCCTGAGTAGAGAGTCAGGATTGAGTTGAATTGTAGGACATCTGACTGGTGCCGGAGAACTGCTTGCCGTGGTGTGATTCTGACACCAGTCGCAGCCCCACACATTGGAACTGGTGTCAGGGTCATACCTGACATGGCCCAAGTGGGCACTATGCAAGGTAGCTGGTGTGAGTTGGTTAGATGGTGCTCCCCTGACAGGTCAGCTTGGGGGCATCCCGCAGGGAGTGAGGCTGGGGGACATGGTGGAGAAGGGAGAAGTGAGACGAATGGGCATCCAAGCTGGGGCTTCCACGTTGATGTCTGGAGGCACTGCGCCCATGGTGGGAGGCTGGGAAATATCTCTGTGTTACCTATTTGGCATATTTAAAAAAATATATATATATTTTCATTGATTTCAGAGAGGAATGGAGAGGGAGAAAGAGATAGAAACATCAGTGATGAGAGAGAATCATTGACCTGTTGCCTCCTGCACACCCCCCACTGGGGATCAAGCCTGAAACCTGGGCGTGTGCCCTAACTGGGAATCCAACTGTGACCTCCTGGTTCATAGGTCGACGTTCACCCACTGAGCCACTGCAGCCAGGCACCTATTTGGCATTTTAATCTAGGGTTTTCTGTCTCAGCCCCTGTCCCTTTTTCTGTACTTTTGTTTCTTCTCTTCCCATCCCCCCCTACCCCCCCCCCCAAATACACACCGTCCCTCTCTCCATGGGCTTGTACCAGTATCTCTCTCTAAGAATATCAGGATTGCAATCTTGGTGTCAAACTCAGGCTCCTGTGCGTCTGATGAGCAGGCTCTGGGAATACTTGATTATATTGTTCTGTCACTGGTTAGAAAGGGCAGGCACACTCCCGGCACATCTCGCAGTAAGCTGTCCTAGCTGAGCCGCCAAACCCAATTCACACCATTTGCACTTTCCTCCTCAGGGTAAAGCGTCTCCTACAGCTTCTACCTTACTCATCCGTGAAACACCTTTAAGGCTGATTTAGTCCAGTGAGATCCAGGAGCTGAAAAGCTTTTCGCACATTTTTTTTTTAAACCCTCACCCAAGGAGTGAGGATATTTTTTCCATTGATTTCTAGAGAGAATGGAAGGGAGTAGGGAGGGGGAGAGAGTGAGAGAGACACATTGATTGGTTGCCTCCCACATATACCCTGACCCGGGTTGGGGTTCGAATCTGCAACCCAGGTACATGCCCTTGACCAGGAATTGAACAGGTCGAAGCTCTAACCACTGAATAATGCTGGCCAGGGCTTTTCATATGACTTTAGGTATACAAACATGTAAGCAAAACAGCCTTCAGAGTGGAAATGCAAAGGCTGGCATGAAAGAGGAATAACGTTTTGAAAAATCACAATGGGAGGAGAGACCAAGATGGCGGCGTAGGTAAACACCGGAGACCGCTGCCGCATACAACCATTTCAAAAATACAACTAAAAGACGGAACGGACATCACCCAGAACCACAGGAAAGCTGGCTGAAGAGAGACTCTACAACTAGAAGGAAAGAGAACAGCAAACTGAGGCTCAGAGGAGGCGCAGTGTGGAAAATACAAAGGTACCGAGGTGCGCGCGAAAGCGGGCTGGTGGCTGAGGGCGCGGTTGTCGTTTTCGGTCGGGAGTGAGTCTCAGACTCTGGGCTCCAGATCCAGGCGAGTCTCTAGGGATTCAGACTCAGACGGGAGAAGCGGGATTATCCGGCATCAGTTGGAACCTGAGGGCAGCTTTCTCTCCGAGGTTTGCAGCGGCTGCCAGGGCTCTGAGAAGCAGAGCCTCTGGGAACGGGACTGAGAGCGGCCATATCTGCTCCCTCCGCCCGCCCTGTGGATCCCGCCCCGCCCAAGCCCTGCGCACAGCCATTTGCCCATCGCCTCAGGCAAAGGCTGGATTAGCGCCTCCCCAGAAGACAGACGTTTTCCACACAGCTGATTCCTACAGCCAATCGGCCTGGTGGTCAAATCCCTCTAGTGTTAACTACAACAATTAAGGCTGGGCTAGAACAAGACTGCGCACAAAGACCACAAGGGGGTGCACCAAGAAAGCATAAAAGATGCGGAGACAAAAAAACATGACAGAAATGGAGGATATGGAGCTAAGAATCGCAATTTTGAGGGCTTGCTATAAACTTGAGCAGAGCCTCACGAAAACTAATGAGACCCTCGATGCTACGATAAAGAAATTAGAAAGTAAGCATACACGGACTGAAATAAAGAATATTATACCCAATAGCAGACCAGAGGAGCACAAGAATCAAACCAAAGATTCGACAAAAAACACCCAACTGGAAAAGCAAAATGAAAAAAGAATCCAAAAGTGTGAAGATAGTGTAAGGAGCCTCTGGGACAGCTTCAAGCGCACTAATATCAGAATAATAGGTGTGCCAGAAGATGAGAGACAGCAAGATATTGAAAACCTATTTGAAGAAATAATGGCAGAAAACTTCCCCCACCTGGTGAAAGAAATGGACTTACAGGTCCAAGAAGCGAAGAGAACCCCAAACAAAAGGAATCCAAAGAGGACCACACCAAGACACATCATCATTAAAATGCCAAGAGCAAAAGACAAAGAGAGAATCTTAAAAGCAGCAAGAGAAAGAGACTCAATTACCTACAAGGGAATACCCATATGACTGTCAGCTGATTTCTCAACAGAAACTTTGCAGGCCAGAAGGGAATGGCAAGAAATATTCAAAGTACTGAATACCAAGAACCTACAACCAAGATTACTTTATCCAGCAAAGCTATCATTCAGAATTGAAGGTCAGATAAAGAGCTTCACAGATAAGGAAAAGCTAAAGGACTTCATCACCACTAAACCAGTATTATACGAAATGCTGAAAGGTTTCCTTTAAGAAGAGGAAGAAGAAAAAGGTAAAGATACAAATTGTGAACAACAAACATGCATCTATCAACAAGTGAATCTAAGAATCAAGTGAATAAATAATCTGATGTACAGAATGAACTGGTGATTACAATGAATCAGGGACATAGAAGGGGAATGGACTGACTATTCTTGGGGGGGGAAGGGGAATGGGAGATGCGGGAAGAGAATGGACAAAAATCGTGCACCTATGGATGAGGACAGTGGGTGGGGAGTGACGGCGGAGGGTGGGGCGGGAACTGGGAGAAGGGGAGTTATGGGAAAAAAAGAGGAACAAATGTAATCAGAACAATAAAGTTTTAATTTAAAAAAAAAAGAAAAAAAAAGAAAAATCACAATGGGAGATTTAGGGATAAGGCAAATGTATTCACAATTAAGCCAATTCTAGGCTATTCGACATTGAAATCTGAAAGATCAAAATTTAGGAGCGAAGGGGCAAGTGACCTGTGGGCCAAGCCCAGATTTTACAGTGTGGACCGCAGGTTCCAAAGCCCGCTGTGGACTGGGCAGTGTGTCTCGTCTCCCAGACGCTCTTTCCTTGGTTACATGAATGGCCTTCTCCCTGCCGCCTCCCTCCCAGGGGTGCGGTTGGGATCAAAGGAGGGATTGATGTGGAAGCTGAAAGCACTGGCTAAACGACGATGCTCTGTGGCTGAGAGTTGCCGTTGTTCTTACGGTGCCTAATAAAGAGCAGGCCTGTAAGAAGCCACGGGTGGGAAGCTGAGCACACGCAGGGACAGGAAGTTGGACCGTGTCCTGAATTTTGAGATTAGGATCCTGGGAAACAATCCTGCATTCAGCACACAGGTCCCTCGGTACCGTTCGTCCAAGGACAAGCCCAGGTTGGCAGGGTCCTAGCTTTGAGTCACGATCACTGCGCTCACATTGATGGGCTTTCAGGAGATTCCTCTTCTGTGGTTTGTGAAAGACAGAACGAGGAGCAGAAATGCTCACAGTTGAAAGGAGTTCCAGCTGGAGTCAGGGGCCACCCAGGAGCCCCCTGGCCCCTCTGGCCCTTGTGGCTTCAGTGACATCCTGAGGATTCCTTGGCCTGGGAGCGTGTGGATATAAGAAGGAAAGAGGAGCTGGGAGCCCCTCCTTTGGTTTTGACCGAGTATAGCTGCCCCCGCCTCTGGCCTGGATCACACACATCCATTGTGCTCAGCCACCCCGTGCCCGTGACTCCAACCTTAGACGTCCCTGCCCTCGTGGTTTCTCTGCTCTTTCGCTGTGTTGATAGGTCACATGCACACAGCAGTTAGACACACTGCGCGCGGTTCACAGTGGTTCTCGGCGCTTTGCCGGTGAGAGTCACTGTCGTCGAGGGTGTTGGAGGACTCCGCTCACGTCTGGCTTAATTACAAAGCCCCTGTGAGAGCAGTTCGCAGCATGAGTTGCTACTGGTTTTAAGATCGTTTTAGTATTTCCACAAGGTTTAGTCTTTTTAGTAGAGTTTCCATTTGAGTGTTCCGTGAGTGCCTTCATTATTTTTGAATTGGAGAAATGAGGAAGGTGTCTGTTCAACTACTTACCAGCCTCTGATTCTAGACAACTGCCATAGGATGCCTCAGAAGCCTGTTCAGTCAGGAAAACAGGAAGCACTCTAGGTATTTTAAACAGGGAATTTAACACACAGAATTCATTATGGAGGTGCTAGAAGGACCAGAGGAGCAAAAGATGTAAAGTAAGGAGGCTACCCAAAGATTAGGAGGTGCCGGAGGCTGCTGTCCCCTGGGACTGGAGAGCTGTAAGGGACTGTGGCATTACCCAGAGCTCATGACCACTGCCTGCGCGGGAACCAGAGTCCCACTCTCACCTAGAAGTGGCAACAGCACTGTGACCTGTATCCCCGGGGCCAAACTCAGTCACAGGGCCACACCCACCTGCAAGGAGACCGGGAAATGTCTGCTGCGGAGTGGCTAGAAGGAAAGGGACCGTGTTTGCTGAACCACTAGTCTCTGCTACGCATGGTACAGGAATCACTGCCGTGAGGAGAGACCAGGGACCCTTTGCAGACTCAGCCTTCAAGATTCTGCCTGTGTGCATGCAACCTGCTCTGCGGGAATAGGATGGGAGTATTTTAACCGCTAGAGTGCCGGGGAGCGCGATCATGCTCCTCCCGCAGTGTCACTATTAGATGCTAGTAGTTTACTCTTTATTGACAGATGGTACCTAAGTGCAGATTACTTATGATGCCGAATGTTTGTAGTTCTAAAATTGACCACTGGCATTTATCTGCCTAATTGTTTATAGGTGCTACGATTTTATGAAGTTTACTCAGATTTTGTAGCCCTAGAGCTTCGAAATGGCGTCCAGTTCTAAGTCTGCTTTTATTAGTAATGATGATATTGCTAAATATGTCAATTCTTGCTGTGAAGATGACGATTTTGTGGAAGATATTGGAGAAGGGTGTCCCTCTATTTTAACATATGTTTTGTACAAATTTTTTTTCTACTAATATTTTATAATACAACTAGAAGCCCGTTGCAGGAGGATTCCTGCAAGAATAGGGCTTCCTCCAGCCGATCGCGTCGCCAAGCCCCGCCACCCAGGGCCGCAGACAGGGGTCCCGGCTGGGGGCGGGGCTTAGGTGGCACACGGGCGCCCAGATGGCGGCTCGTGCTGGCCCGCCCTGCCTGCAGTATGCAAATTAGACACCATCTTTGTTGGCAGTTAATTTGCATATCGTGCTGATTAGCCAACGGGAGGTGTAGCGAAGGTACGGTCAATTACCATGTTTGTCGATTATTAGATAGGATCAGCAAACAATATATGTCAAAGATGAAAACAAATGTAGTAACGGTTTCCTTAAGTTTTTGAATATGTAACTTCATTTACTTGCGGTTCATAATTTTTTTTCCTAAACTGCTGTAAAATCAGCAAAAATGCCTTGGAAATTTTAGCATAGTTCCTAGGATATTGGTTGGCACTCAAAGGGTTAAAGCTGAGTTCTCCTACCTCCTCCTGATCTATTTCCCATCCCGCCCTTCCCCTCCCTGCCCCTTCCTGGTGCTGAGCTGACTCTGTGCTCTGTTTCAGGGGGTCCTGGCCCAGCCCCAGCCCTGGTGGAAGGTCCAGCTGTTCGTATGGGAGCCAGTGCTGTTCGGGACCTGGGATGGCGTGTTCACGTCCTGCATGATCAACATTTTTGGGGTCGTCCTTTTCTTGAGGACCGGCTGGCTGGTGGTGAGTGATGGCTTGGTGGCCCAGGAGTCTCTTGTGGGCCGGTGACATGGGGAGTCTGTCACTCTTGGGCATCCCCGGTGCCGGGAACAGATTCCTGAAGCACAGATGCTCCAGAAACATGAAGCAAGAAGCACGTACATGGAAGAGTTACATTGCTTTTAAAATGGGCCTCCCACAGAGGCTTCAGTGCCAGCCTCACCATGGACGTAACTACTGAATATGAGCGCAGAACTCGGGGCACATCGTAGGTGGGACTAGAGATGGGTCAGAGAGAGGTAAGTTTGCCTGCAGTGTGTGACCCTCTCCAGCTTCCCTGGTATTCTTCCACTCGTCTGGTGCCCTCCTGGTGGTACCAGCTCCTCACCTAGGTGGTGGCCTCCCCCACTGCACCCAGTGCACAGGGAGCCTTGGTCAGAGGTGCATACTGACCACACTCAGGCCAGATTACCGGAGGCACACCTTTTGCATGAGGCCATGGGGGTTAGTTTGTCTTCCTCTGTAGATGAAACAAGGGCCTCTCTTTTATGTCTCACGTGAAAGCATCCTGGGACCTTCCAGGTAGATGCGTGTCCTGAGCAGGTATCAGCCCTTCACACAGTGCCGTCTCCCTCGGACTTCAGTGAACTCAACAGGCTTCTCAGAACAAAAGGCCAGTCTATCAGGAATCCTTGATGAGCACCTATTGTGTATCAGGAACTACATGCCAATAAGATTGCAAAATATAAGACCCTGTTCCTTTCCCTGGTGGGCTAACAGCCGTAGTGGTTAGATTTTACATCAGGAATTCAGGAGAGCTCTCCAAGCAGCATTAAACCTCCAGGAGTGGAAAAGGCTGTGACTATAAGGTTGCTGAGGTCTCCAGGGAGCATCCCGGAGATGTGGTTAAACCAGGTGTTGAAAGGTGAGCTGGACTGGACAGGTGAAAAGAGAGAGGGGGCCATTCAAGGTGTGGAATGTACTAGGGTTCTCCAGAGAAACCATATAACACTCTCTCTCTCTCTCTCTCTCTCTCTCTGTCTCCATATAAATATATGTATATATGGAAAGGGGGGGCAATATTTATTTTAAGGAATTGGCTCACATGATTATGGGGGCTGGCAAGTCCAAAATCCGTAGGACAAGCAAGATTCAAGTGAGAACGGAAGTTGCAGGCTCAAGTGCCAAGGCTGGAAACTCAGGCAGAATTTCTATGTTGCTGTTTGGAGACAGAATTCCTTCTTTGGGAAACTCTAGTCTTTGCGCTTAAGGCCTTCAACTGATTGGATGAGGCCCACCCAAATTATGGAGGGAAATCTCCTTAAAGTCAACTGATTACAAATGTTAATTACATCTTAAAAATACTTTATAGCAACTTCTAGACTAGCACTTGACCAGCCAGCCACCATGGTTTGGCCAAGTTGATATATAAAACTAGCCACCACATAGGCAGATTCCAGGGGATTAAAGCTTCACTGTAGTGGGGTGTGTGGGGTTCTTGCCCCCTCAGAAGGCCTTGGTGAGGCCAGACCTTCCTAAGCCCTTGTCCGACTCCCTGAGCTTTGAGTCCATAAAAGATCAGTCTTTCATTGCCAGCTCACAGCACACACAGGAGGTTCATTTAAGGTAAATGGATTATCCAACTGTGTTTTATAACAGGAGGATGCTTCTGATAATTCTTTCTGAGAACATTTGGAAAATTAAAGTTTATTGAATTTTCCAATTTGTCTTTGAGTTAAATATTTAAAAGGATTATGGGTCATATATGGCAGTTTGCTTGATAACATCTGACTTGCAGACTCAAAAATAGTTGCATTCCTAATGATATATTTATTGTTTATGATAAAGGCAATGGACATATCAATGAATATTTAACTATGAACTTTTTATCATTTAGGTTTTTTAAGTTTCATACTTCATACGTTCAGATAAATTTTTTTTTTAAATATATTTTATTGATTTTTTACAGAGAGGAAGGGAGAGAGATAGTTAGAAACATCGATGAGAGAGAAACATCAACCAGCTGCCTCCTGCACATCTCCCACCGGGGATGTGCCCGCAACCTAGGTACATGCCCTTGACCGGAATCGAACCCGGGACCTTTCAGTCCGCAAGCCGACGCTCTATCCACTGAGCCAAACCGGCTTCAGCCGTTCAGATAAATTTTAATTTAATATCAGAGAGCCCAAAATTGATTTTTTTGATCTAGCCCTTATATATATTTAAATTGATATGCCACACTAAAGGGTTTTAACTATGGTCTTGCAGAATTCAATACTTGTAATGGTGAGAATTAAAAATAAAGTAGAAGCGTTCTTTAAAAAAGTCCTTGGCCCAGGGTTCAGCCTGAACCACATCCAGTGTGGGTCGTATTTTTTCTTTATTAATGTGTGGACAGCTTAGGGCCGAGTCAGCAACCTCCCTGGTGTGGATGCTAAGAATTCATTCCCTTCACCCCTGTTCCAAACTTACAGGGGCTCCCACTTACAAAACCACAGTCTCCCGGTCAGACTTGTCATCCTGGCGGCAGTCTCAGGTGTCTGGGGTTGACCTCTGTTTGTGCCCCTTCCTGTGGGCCACCTCACTGCCCAGCATCTCTGCAGCCTGTGTCCCAGGGAGGCCCATCAGCTGACCACTGTGGCCGAGTAAGGCCTGGCCAGTGACAGCCTGGGCCACAGGGCTCTGTTCCTGCAGGGGATGGTTCTGGAATGGTGGAAGGAGAGAAGGGTGACCTCTCTCTGTTCTGATGTCCATGGGCCTCCTCTGAACCCTCTCAGTGGGTTATTTTTTTGAGAACTGGCTATCAAGAGGTGTCAGTTCTATCCCCAAAGTGAAAGCACAAGTTGTATTAATCATCTATTGCTGCATCACTAACTACCCCAACACGTAGCCGCTTAGAGCAATGAATATGTCATCCTGTCTTTATGTTATGTTATAGCTTCTGTGTTCAGGAGCTGGGTGCCTCCTGCTCAGTCTGTCATGGAGTCATAGTTGAGCTGTCAGTCAGGGCTGCAGTCTCATCTGAAGGCGTTACTGGGGCAGGACTGTTTTCAAGATCACTTGTGTCGTTGTTGACAGGCCTTGTCCTGTGGGCCTCTTCACAGGGTGCCTCATTCCATGCAGCCTACTTCCCCCAGGGCCGAAATCTGAGAAGAGAGTGTGAGAGAGCAAGAGCCCGAGAAGAAAGCCACAGTCTTTTTATTTGTTGTTGTTAATCCTCACCTGAAGATATTTTTCCCATTAATTTTAGAGAGAGAGAAAGGGAGGAAGTGGGAGAGAGAGGGAGAGAGAGAAAGAGAGAGATAGAGAGAGATAGAGAAAGAGAGATGTGAGAGAGACACATCAATTGATGCCTCCTTCACACGCCCCTACTGAGGTGGGGGATTGAACCTGCAACCCAGGTACTTGCCCTTGACCAGGAATCAAACCCACCACCCTTAGGTGTGAGGGCCGATGTTCTAATCACTGAGCAACACTAGCCACGGCAAAGCCACAGTCTTTTTATATCCTCATCTCAGAAGTGACATCCCATTACTTCTGAAATATTCTGTTCATTAAAAGTGAGTCACTGGGTCTAGCCGGCACTCAAGGTGAGGCGATTACACAAGGACTGGAGTGCCAGTAGGTGGGGATCGCTGGGGCCGTCTTTGAGGCTTCTGCCACACAAATACATCCTTTTGCCCTAAAGTGATCTGTTTTCCAGTTCTGACATTAGTTTCACCTGAAAAATTATATTTGATCGTGGAAAAAAAGGCAAATGTGGGATGCCAAAAATCAGGTAGCGCTTCTAGGAGCTGGCACACAATTAAAGCAGGTAGAGGTCATGCCCAATGGATTTTTTAAATAGACAATATTAACTAAAGAATAATTTGGCAGCATATTTATAATTTGGAAAATGTTAACGTGGTAGTTTTGTCATGGAAACTTAAAGATCGGGGCAGGATATTTTATTATCACGTGAAGACAATTTAAAAGCACACACAAAGGAAAAGGTTAGTAATGATATAATTTCATTAAAAATATAAAATCAGCAAAATGAGAAACTCTGCATAAAACATAATCCTGCTCCCTCGGAGCTCACAGCCCAGAGGTGAAGACCGACCCGGAGGTAGACTCGGTGCGATAAGTACTGTGAAAGCACTAAGTCGTGGGTGCTGTGGGGGCCCAGAGCAAGGGGTACAGGACAGCGTCCTGAAGGAGGAACCCCCGAAGCACCGAGTCTTAAAGGATGTGCTGGAGGGAACCTGGCAAGGAATTGAGCAGGAAAGGCATTCGAGGCAGGGGATCAGCATGGTGAGGGGTGCTGGGGAGAGAACATGTGACTTAGGCTGGGGCACAGAGTGAATGCGGGGTGTTGTTGGCAAAGGGATGAGAGGGACTGGGGAGGGGGAGAGGGGACAGAGTAGGAGGGGCCTCATCAGTGTATTACGTAGCTTTGACTTTATGGGGGATGATGGGAAGTCATTGAAGAATTTGAAGCAAGGACATTTTCCTTCATCTGGCCTTACTTCTGGTGGTACTGCACTTGCCCCACCTCTGGGGGTGGGGGGAGAGGTGGTCAATGCTCCTTCGAGGGGCTGCATCTGGCAGGGCCTCCTTATCCTAACCCCTGACCTTGCTCCTTGTTGTTCTGCAGGGAAACACGGGAGTGCTCATGGGCATGTTTCTGGTGTCCTTCGTCATCCTGGTGGCCCTCGTCACCGTGCTGTCTGGCATCGGAGTTGGGGTGCACTGTGGCGTTGGCAGCGGTGGCGTCTACTCCATGATCTCCTCGGTCCTGGGCGGGCAGACCGGAGGCACCATCGGGCTACTCTATGTGTTTGGACAGGTGAGCCTGGGCTGCTGGGGCAGGGGAACTGTGTCCCGAGGCCTCTAGCATGTGTGGCATTTCTTCCCTTGCCTACTGTTTGCCACCATCTTCTCATCCACATTCTCACTTGGCCTGGGGAGAGACGAGGGTGGGACAACTGCCCCCATTTTATAGATGGTAAGACTGGGGCTCTGAAGGGGAACTCAGCGGCAGAGCCCAGCCCACCATCCAGGTCCTGACCCTTAGTCAGTGGTCCCTGCTCTCCACCAGGCCTGCCTCATGGATTCCTGATTTGAACAGGGAGGCAGGGCCTGGGCTGGAACTTTCCTGCTGCCCATTCTAGGGAGGTGAGTGCATGGCAGTGGCCGGAGCCCAGGTGGCAGCCGAGTGGCCTGGTTCCTGGGGCACTTTTGTGCTGAAGAGGGGATATCTTGCCTATGCCAGAGGACTTCCCTTGCAGCAGCCACTTCTCAAATGAGCTGGAGCTCTCATGCACTGATAGCTTGACGGCCTTCCCAGGAGGCTGGAAGCCCCCGTGTGGACGCCTGTTGAGAATACTAATGAGGAGGCCACATCGCCAGGGTGGCCAGAGGCTCTCAGAAAACCAGCGAGGTGGGAGAAACACGAGGCTTCTTTAGCTGGAACGCAGGGATGGTGAGGAAACAAGTGCAGACATTAAGAAGTAGCTCTTTGTCGGCACTTCTTAGTGTGGAAAAGGCTTTTATGATTGTGCAAAGGGTGGTGGGTGGTTGAAAAAACAGCTTAATGAGAAGAATTTGTCTAAGTAAAACTACAAGAGTCTCTTCAAAGAAAGCATCGGTTTTGTTTCTTTTATTTTTAAGCAGCAGGGGCAGGGTATTTTAGCTTAAATACATCTGATTCTCCAACAGCACAAAGCTGTGTGTGTGTGTGTGTGTGTGTGTGTGTGTGTAGGACCAATGCATGGAGGGCACTCCTAAAAACCACTTTCCTTTACTAGAGAAAGATCTTTTTTTGTTGCCATTGTCATTTTTATTTATTTTTAAATAATTTTTTATTTTTAAATTACAGTTTACTGGTACATACAATATTATATTAGTTTTAGGTATACAACATAGTGAGTAGACATTTATAAAACTTACAAAGTGATCACCTGGATAAGTCTAGTACTCATCTGACACCATACATAGCTATTACAATACTAGAGGCCTGGTGCACAAAATTCATGCACTTGTGTGTGTGTGTGTGGGGGGGGGCGGTCCCTAGCCCGGCCTGTGCCCTCTTGCAGTCCGGGAGCCCCACAATCCATCGCCCTGTAGAGAGAGGCCCCCCTACCTGCCGCAGCCCACCAGTTGGTGGCCTGGGCCTCCCTCTTTGGGGCGATCACAGAGTCCCCCTTCCTCCCCCTCGATCGATCACCCTGCCAGCCAGTGGCCTGGGTCTCCCTCTATGGGGCAATGGCGGCCCCCCCCTCCCCGCCCGACCAATCACATCACACCCACCTTGGCTGGCCTGGTGCCAGTGTGTGTCATAGCGTGGTCGTCAGGACGGTCATTCTGCTGTTAAGGCGTTTGGTTGATTTGCATATTACACTTTTATTATTATAGATTATTGACTATACTAGAGGCCTGGTGCATGAAATTCATGCATGGGTAGGGTAACTAGGCCTGGCTGGCGATCAGGGCTGATCAGGGCTGATCAGGGCTGATCAGGGCCTTCAGGCTGCTAGCTGGGGTTTTCCTTCCTTCCACGCCACCCCCTGGTGGTCAGTGCATGTCATAGCGAGCGATAGAACTCCTGGTCTCCCCGTTGAACTCCTGCGAAGAGACTTTGCATATTAGCCTTTTATATATATATTTACCCTATGCTGTACTTTACATCCCTGTGACTGTTTTTAACAACTGGCAATTTGCACACCTTATTCCCTTCCCCTTTTATACCCATCTGCCCAACCCACCTCCCATCTGGCAACCATCAAAATGTTCTCTGTATCTATGATTTTGTTTCTGTTTTGTTTCTTTTTTAGATTCCACATATAAGTGAAATCATATGGTATTAGTCTTTCTCTGTATGATTTATTTCCCTTAGCATAATCAGTCTGGGTCCGTTCATGTTGCTGCAGATGTCAAGATTTCACTCTTTTTTTGCTGAGTAATATTCCATTGTATATATGTACCACTTCTTTATTCATTTGTCTATTGATGGACATTTAGATTACTTTCATATCTTGGCTATTATCAACAATGCTGCAATGAACATAGGGATGCATATGTCTTTCTTGAAAACATTGATCTTAAGAGAGGGAGGGAAAGAGAGAGCAAAACGTCAATTGGCTGCCTCCCTCACACGCCGGACTGGGGATTGAACCCCTAACCTGGGTATGTGCCCTGACCAGGAAACAAACCCACTATCTTTTGGTGCATGGGACGACACTCCAATCAACTGAGCCACACTGGCCAGGGTGCATACAACTTTTTAAATTAGTGTTTGGGTTTCTTCAGATAAATACCCAGAAGTGGAATTGCTGGGTTCTTTCTTCCTCTGTTGTTATACCTTTTGTTTTAAAGTCTATTTTGTCTGATGTAAGTATTGCTACTCCAGCTTTCCTTTGGTTTCCATGCGCATGAGATATCTTTTTCCATCCTTTTACTTTCAGTCTGTGTATATTTTGATCTGAAGTGAGTCTCTTGTAGTTACATTTAAAGAATTATTGATAAATATGTAGTTATTGCCATTTTATTATCCATGTTTTTTATCTTTTCTTAAAAATATAAATTTTTATTGATTTCAGAGAGGAAGGGAGAGGGAGGGAGAGAGAGAAACAGCAATGATGAGAGAGAATCATTGATCAGCTGCCTCCTGCATACCCCCTACTGGGGATCGAGCCCGCAACCAGGGCATGTGCCCTTGATCAGAATTGAACCTGGGACCCTTCAGTCTGCAGGCCGATGCTCTATCCACTGAGCCAAACTAGCTAGGGCTTTTTTCTTTTTTGGGGGGTCTTCTTACAGAAGTCCCTTTAACATTTTTTATAATACAGGTTTGGTGGTGATGAACTCCTTAAGCTTTTTCTTTTTCTTGCCTGGGCAGCTCTTTATCTGTCATTTGATTCTGAGTGATAGCCTTGCTGGATAGAGTAATCTTAGCTGTAGGTCCTTGTTTTCCAACACTTTGAATATTTCGTGCTACTCCCTTCTGGCCTACAAAATTTCTGTTGAGAAATCAGCTGACAATCTTATGGGAGCTTCCCTGTAGGTAACTGACTGCTTTTCTCTTGCTTTTTTAATTCTTTGTCTTTAACCTTTGCCATTTTATTTATGATGTGTCTTGGTGTGGGTCTCTGGGTTCATCTTTTTGGGGACTCTCTGCTCTTCCTGGACTTGTGTGTCTATTTTCTACAGCAGGTTAGTGAGAGAAACATTGATTGGCTGCCATTATTTCTTCAAATAGGTTTTTAATTCCTTGCTCTCTCTCATTGCCTTCTGGTACCCCCATGGTGTGAATGTTGGTATGCTGATGTTATCCCAGAGGCCCCTTAAACTATCCTCAAATTTTTGGATTCCTCTTTCTTTTTCCTGTTCTGATTGGGTGTTTTCTGCTACCTTCTTTTCCAAATAGCTGATTTGGTCCTCTGTTTCATCTAATCTACTGTCAATTCCCTCTAATGTATTCTTCATTTCAGTTATTGTATTCTTAATTTCTGACTGGTTCTTTTTTACATTTTCTATCTCCTTTTTTTATGTTTCTTATCTCTTTGCTAAAGTTCTCACTGAGTTCATTGATTTCAGAGGAAGGGAGAGGGAGGGAGAGAGAGAAACATCAGATGAGAGAGAATCATTGATCAGCTGCCTCCTGTACACCCCCTACTGGGGATCGAGCCCGCAACCTGGGCATGTGCCCTTGATCAGAATTTAACCTGGGACCCTTCAGTCTGCAGGCCGATGCTCTATCCACTGAGCCAAACCAGCTAGGGCTTTTACATTTTTTAATCCTTATAACTAATGTGTGTTTTGTTTTGTTTTTCTTTATAACCAATGTTTTGAACTCTGTCTAGTAGATTGCTTGTCTCCATTTTGTTTAGTTTTTTTTTTCTGGAATTTTGTCCTGTTCTTTCATTTGGGACATGTTTCTTTGTCTCCTCATTTTGGCTGCCTCCCTGTGTTTGTTTCTTTGTATTAAGTAGAGCCTCTTCACCTCCCAGTCTTGGTAGAGTGGCCTTATGTAGTAGTTGTCCTGTGGGGTCCAGTGGTGCAGTCCCTAGTCACTCGAGCCAGGTGCTCCAGGTGAGTCCCTTGTGTGGGTAGTATGTTCCTTCCTGTTGTAGTTGAGTCTTGGTTGTTGTTGGCATGCCAGTGGGAGGGATTGACCCTTAAGCTGATTGGCTGTGAGAACTGGCTGTGACTAACAAAGTAGCCTCTGCAGGGGCTGACCCATGGAGCAGGAATCACTTTAGCGGAGCTCTGGTGCCTGCTGAGTCCACCCTTTGGGTATGTCATTTGTGGAGGTCGTTAAGTGATGCTCTGTTATGGTCTGAAGCTGGCCACCGGGTGTGTTGGTTCTCAGGCTTTTTGGGAGGGAATCTGGTGCAGGCCAAGGTCAGCTACTGCCTTTGCTCTGCCTGGGGCCACCTGGTATGAGCCACAAAGTGATCCGCAGATGGTACTTGTGCTGCACTTAGAGGTGTCTAAGAGAGGCTAAGCTACAAACCAAGGCTGGCTGCCACTGGTGCCAGGTTTGGGGTTACTTAGCGAGAGACGTGGGGCATGCTCAGGCCAATGCTGCTTGTTTGGGGTTTGGGGACCTTTGAGAGATTTTAGGAAAGTTGGCAGTTTGAACCAAGACAGGCCATTTGTATGGAAAAGCCACTGTAAACTCTTGGGTGGGGCGGGGTCTCAGGGAATCACGAGGGCGGGTGAACAGTGTTAGCCAGGTTGATGGAGACTCAGGTATGGGGCCCACCTGTGCTTGCAGGGTGAGGGCTCATCAAGGGAACAACGGCCTCTGCCAGCACTTCTGTCTGGGACAAAGCTGCCCCTCCA